AATACTCCCAAACGCTTCCGCCTCTGCTCGTATGGAAGGTGGCGCATTCTAAAGACGCATTTAGAAACCCGACGTTGAGGTTGGTCCAGTGCAGTAAGCCCGTGCTTCAGGCAAGGCTGGTATGCTAGGATTGCATATTCGACATGGGGACGAACATACGCATTCAGCATCTGTCTGAAAACAGTGGTGTCTAGCTATCCGAACGTCCGTCGTAGCAAGCCGACGTGGTGGTTACCAGTTTTTGATGCTTTTGCGGATTGCTTGGAACAACCCAATTTATCTTGAACAAGTACGCCAAGGTCGCGTTCGACGGATGACCACTGCAGTATTTGCATTCCTAGCTTGTAGCAAGAGTTACCCTGGTGTCGTATGGAGAGTATCTTGCATTTGTCCACGTCGAACTGTTGCCGATTTCGGGTTGACCAACCATGTGTCGTATTTATGTCACACTGAAGCAACTTCTGATCGGCACTCGCCTGAACTCGGAGCCAAACCTTGATGTCGTCAGCAAACAGCAGGAACTTTGAAGCGATTATCCGTGCAAGGTCATTGATAAGTACCAAATCCATCGTGACCCCAGTACTGAGCCGTGGGGCACACCACACTCGACTGGTATGGGTACAAGTAGGGAACTCCGGACTCTCGCCACTAATTGTCATTGCAGGAGAAAGTTGACGATCGAGCTCAAGAGAGGGTCACCGTTCCCATAATATTAGAGCTGGGAAAGGAGTACCCGATGATCTAACCGATCGAATGCCTTGGACAAATCCAAGTACGTTACATCAACCGCCTCTGCGGCATCAGGTGACTCCGTCCAACTAGTCCGCGAAATTAATAAATTTGTCGTGCATGATCGCTATCAAAGAAAGCCTTGTTGCTCGGGAGCAATAATATTACTATTTTCTACATAACACACCAACGCGTCGGCAAAGATGGATTCCATGAGCTTGGACAATACTGGGAGAAGAGACACTGGGCGGTAGTTTGAGGGCTCAGGCTTGCTTCCGCCTTTGTGAATCGGAGTTATTATTCTAATTTTCCACATCGCAGAACTCTCGTTCTGCTCTAAGCAGCGCTGGAAGATCTGTGCCAATAATTGTGTCAGTTGTCTTGCTGCTCCCAGTGCCTCTGGGCGAATGGCATCGACTCCCGAGGAATTGTGGTTGCACAGAGACGTCAGCTTCCGCAAAACAGCTTCGGCAGTAAAAAGCATATTGTTAAGTCCTGAGGGCGGGAAAATAAAGGTTAGTAAATAGTCTGGTAGCAAGCCCCTCAGAAATGTGCTACCTTATTGCGTCCGCGACGCGTTTGCTGCTTCCATAGCCGTTCTAGTCGGACCATCAATCATCCGGAGAGGAGGAATTGCCTGCTCACCTTATCACGGCCACTGACATATTTGCACAGCAGTTTGTGGTTAGCGTGGAAAGTTTTCGCCCTATTCTGCTGATTTACCACTTTGTAGTCTCTGCGTTTTTGAGTGCAATGGTTACGATGGGCTACGTAGTTCTTCCAATTTTCTGACGTTGGTGATGATCTGTATTCTCGCCAGGCTGCGTTGCGCATAGTTATCCACTTTTGAGTTCTGTTCCTCACGAACTAAACGGTTTCGGGCCCAGTGAAAACCCTTGTCTCTGAGGCATCCGTCACCAGTTGATTGAATTTACTGACACATGCAAGCCAAGCGACTTCCGGATGGTCTTCAGCGAGGACCGACCAGGTTGTGGCACTGACGATTCGGGATAAGCGGTCGTAGGTCGTAATGGTGCGCACCAACTCAGGGTTCTAATTGCGATATTCCGCGTGGCAGATTAGGTCGAAACTGATTATTGCATGATCCCTGCGGCCCAAAGGGCATTCTACGATCAATACATCAAGCATATTTTCCTCGTTGGTGAACACAAGCTCCAGCAAAGATGGTCCATTAAATGTTCTGAAACGAGTAGGCCTAATGACGTGATTGTAAAGTGAAACCCTGGTTAAAAGTTCTTGCAGATCTGCTTTGAATGGCTCTCCGATTGTAGCCGAAGTTTTTAAACAGTGTACGTTGACATCACCCATGATAAGTATGTGTGTACTTTCGCTTTAGGCTGCATCTTAGAGCTGTCGCAAGATGGCAGTCCATTTCCGGTCTAGAGTTTGGGGGGCGGTATACCAAAGCTATAATGCAGGTGTCGCTGTCATGTCATTGCAGGCGGCACCAAAGAGAATCGGCCAACTGTAAGGCTGAATCCTCAACGGACTCGCACTGTAGTTCGCTTTGGTAATACAGAATTACTCCTCCTGTTTCGTAAGCCTGTCATTTCGTATGAGTGACAAGCCCGGCGGCAAGACTTCAGCGTCTGTCATCCCAGTGTGTAACCATGCATGTGTGACGCTGATAACATCGCATGGCTTCGGAATTTGACCATCCTTCAGTTCGGCCAGCTTATTGAAAAAGTCTTGGACATTTGTATAAAGACAGGATAGTTTCTTGCTCTTTAGGAGATCACAGGAAGCCTAAGGATTCAAGTGTGGTAGAATGCCAACCGATGTAAAGTCGGTGGTCATTCCTTTTTTGATGGGATGATGGTGACACGTCGTTTGCAAGCTGATTTGGCCAAGGTACGTCCGATTCCTCGTCCGGCCAAACTTGTGCTGTAGTGAACGGGTAACACAAATATGAAAAGAGTATTTTTTCGAAATTATTTTTGAGAACTATGAAACTTTTTTACTCTGAGTGCCCAGGTCTGAGATTCACCGCACTGGACTTGGGTTGGGTCTGCCAGGATGCCGCGAACCCTCATCTTCAGATGATGTTTAACGAGAATCGCCTATTCCACGATTCTGAAGCTTGTGAAGGAGAATGCGATGCTCTAGACAATCAAAAGCCTTTTTAAAATCCGGCTAGACAGGAAGTGCTCCTACACATCCACAGACTCTGTCCAGCATACAAAAGCTGTCAGCAGGTTATTAGTGCACGATCGATTTTGGCGGGATCCATGGTAATCCGGTGTGAGAATTTGGTTACTCTACAGATACCCACCCCAAGGTTACCTTAGGAACAATGGACTCTAAAACCTTAGATATCACAGGAAATAGTGTTATCGGCTACCACTTTTGTAGATTGGAGTGATGATCGCGTGCTTCCACATCGTGGGGACGTGTATGTTGTTGCGACGTCATGGAAAGAATATTGCTATTGGTTTAACTAAACTCCTGACAGCCATTCCCAACGATTTTATGAGAACGCCGTCTGAACCAGGTGAGCCGTACTCGCGCAAGGACATCAGCTGCTTCATCTGTGGTTGTAACGGATATATGGTGAGGCGCTGATGGCCAGATGATCTGTGTAGAACGGATGTAAGATGATTGTACACTT